TTTAGTTCATGTTACTTTTATGTTCATGTTGGTATCTTGAGAAAGTAAAGGACACAGAAGCATTCTGACATCTATGCTGCATTCATGATTTTGAGTCATTATACACCTCTTCCAGTCAGTCGCCTACCACCTATGGATAAGTCTGCCTTTGTAATGCCATTAACTTGCTGTTGTGTTGATTAGGTTGTCAGAGTCATTTATGAAATTCTTTTTTTTTTTCCATAACCAGTGAGACTTTATTTCTGTCATTAAAAAACAAACAAGCAAACAAAACCACACACACACACACAAAGACAAATCTGTGAGCCAAATGTTTCTAGATTGGCATTTTATGGCAGATTTTAAAAAATGGCTTTTTTTCTAAACAGTTAAGTTTTTTTTTTTTTTTAATTTGTTATTGTTGTGTTGGGTGGGGATACATTGTAGCATTTACAAAGGTTCTTACCATGTATCAAGAATATGAATATATCATATTCACCCCCTTCTTCATCCCCCTCCCCTAATTCTTCAAACAGTTTATGAAATTCTTTTGTTCAGTAAATATTAAGAAGCCAGAGATGTGTTTAACATTTTAGGTGACTTTTTTTTTTTTTAAATAACATCTAATTGCTAAATAGGGAAGTTTTAGCAACCAGGTCAGTAAATTTGTGTGGAAAAGCTTAACCATGCTGGGTTAGTACTTTTCATTGTACTTAACTGTAATATCCTGTATTGTTTGGTGAAGATTTTATGATATTTTTGAAGAGCTCATCTTTATTCATTTATTTATATATTTATTGTGCTTGGAGATGGTACATTGTGGTATTTACAAAAGTTCTTACAATATATCAACTATATATATCATACTTGAGTTCACCTCCTCCACCATTCTCCTTCTTTTCCCCACCACTCCCATTCCTGGAACAGTTTCAGCAGGTAGAGCTCATCTTTATAATAAGACAAAAGAATGTGTATGCTTTAGGAAAGTTAACTTATATTACCAGATATGCACAGATCCACAATGTGTGAGAATTTATGGAGAATTTTTCCTTTTATTGAAAAGCTAGAAATATCAAAAAATAAGTGGGACACACATTGCCTTATTTTCCCTTATTTTCAGCCTTTAAAAGTATTACAAAAATCTCTTTAAAATTTCTTATAAATCTTCATAAATACTTTCCTTACATGAATTTTTTTTAGGGCTGTGGTTTAAGGTATTTTCAATTATTCTCTTAAGTTGTGAGAAATAAGAGTGAGTGCTTCTTACTCAGAAAATATTCTGTTAGAGAAAAAAGTAATTTGAAGCAATCAGAAGCAGAAGTTAATTTATTTCCTGGAAACTTTGTATTAGTTCAAGATTATCCAGTTACTGTGGACCCTATCTAATTATCATAATTTTATTTATGTGCATGATATTAAATTTACATATAGCAGAAAGATGAAAATGTGACAAACTTTTAAGTACTAGGGAGGGGAAGCAAGCAGTTTGCTAATCAGTCACACATTTCAGGGGTGGAATGTTAATAGAAGACTCCTTTGATAAAATGCTGAGGTGACATGAAAGAGAAATAGCCATAATCTATTCAAAGAGATTCCACTTATAGTCTCCATACTGTCCTTTGGTTCCTGTTGTACTTCACCCATGTGGCTTCTGTTCCATACTTGTGCTTATATTGGTTTTTGGGCTTCTTTAGATTACTATTTTTTAAATCATTATTATATACAATTAAAATGGGACTTTTTGAGGAGGTTTTTTTTTTTTTTGTACATGTGCTTTTGTGGATACTTTCATGTTGAAGGTAGGGAGTGTGTGTGGTTGTATCATTTTCTCTGTCCCCAGTATTCAGTGGATCATTTAAAATTCAAATTTGTATCTTGGAAGACTTTCCTGAGTTCATTTAGAACAAACTTGAATATAGAATAAAAGTTGCAACATACACGTTAACTTGCACTGGAACTACAGAAGTTGCGGTAGTTCAAATACTCTTAGGTATTTTGGGAAGATGTTTTTATTGGAACTGGGGCAGTTGATTTGGAATGTGATGCTTTTAAAAGGCTATTCAGCATTTAAGATCATTTTGTCAATTTAAAAACATGTTAATACTATTAATGTAGGAATATTTTAGTATATGTTGCATTTGGATTTTTTTTAAAGGGGTGAGGACTTTAAGCTACCCTATTCTCCAAAGTTAGATGTGTATTAGTTAAGAAACAGCCCAGTTGGGCACTAGTGGCTCATGCCTGGAGGTGTGAGCCTAGCTACTTGGGTGGCTGAGATTAGGAGGATCACTGTTTGAGGCCATCATGGGCAAATAGTTCAAGATACCTCATCTCCACAATAACCAGAGTAAAATGTACTGGAGGTGTGGCTGAAGCAGTAGAGTGCCTGCTTTGCAAGCATGAAGTCCTGAGTTCAAATCTCAGACTTAAATAAAAAGTAGACCAAAATATGGAAATAGAAATAAAGTTTTAAAAAAGAATGAGTAAATTTTGTTGTAGTTAGGTTACTTAATGACTTCTACATATCAACCCAATAGAGGAATAAATTCATTTCAGAAAAGAGTATTGGCTAAATAACTGTCAGATAGATAGCAGTGATCGTTTTGATATGCTATTGCACAGTAGGGTGACTATAGATAATAATAATGTGCTATTTATTTCAAAAACCTAGAAGAAATCTTTATGTTTGCACCTTAAGGAAATGATAAATAGACTAATTAAAGTACAGTATATTTATTGGTGAAATACCATAGTGAAACCCTTTTGAACAATGAATAGACACTTAAATAATGAAGCTCGGGAATGTAAAACAGGCGTGTTGGGGAGAGGGTACTAGTGGATGGAGAGGGTGAATGGAGAGGGTAAAGGAGGGCAAATAGTCGATGTACTTTATATATATGCATAAAAAAGGTATTAGGGCGAAGAGTGAAAAGTGATTTCATTCTCTCTTAAAGAAGCATTTCACAAAACTAATCAAACACAACAGTATATGTATAATTTTGTCATATATATTCAGCCTTTTTCAGGATATGCTATCATTTACTTTTGCTTTGCTTTATCTTCTGGACCTAGGTCCTGCCCCCTCTTCTATTACCCTCAAAGAATTTATTTGGTTACATTTGCCATGACTGGTAACAGTGTAATCTGAAGAGAATTTTACTTCATCCCACTGCATAAATGATCATCCTTTTTCCTAAAGCTTTACTTGTTTTAAAAAGGGGCAATAAATTCTGTTTTATAGCTAGACATTTTTTAAAAAGGCTTAAGAGTAAGAGTTGACCAGAACTTCAGTGAAAATACATAATCAAATCTGAAAGATAGATATCACATCTCTGCATTAAATTAAGGGATGAGATGAAGAGCCACAGCAGTGGTAGGTAGTTTGAGGATTGTTATTTCTCAGCCCTGAGAAAAAGGACAGAGAAGAGAGGGCTGGACATGTAGCTAAGAGGTAGAGTGTGTGCTTAGCATGTGCGGCCCCAAGTTCAATCCTTAGCATAAAAAAGAAAAACAAAACAAAACAAAAAACACCAAGGGTGAGAGGAGAGACTACCTGAGATCAGTTCCCCAGACTAACTCCTTTGCCAAGGTTCACCTTTTTCCCCCTCAAGTTTTCACGTTTTTTTTAATTTTATAAACCTGGGAATAATTATACTGGTCTTTCATTAACATCTCAGCAAACAACCCCAGGATTCACATTCAAGGAAGGCTGGCAACACAGGACAGCATACTTCCCATGCTATTTCATTTCTTCCTTCAAAAAACAGCATCTATCTATATTAGTCCAAATTGGAAGGTGACTTTAATGCCATTTCATAATTGAAAATATAAAAACTTAAAGGTAAAATTCTTGTCCTGTGCTTTTTTGTTTTTTTGCAATGCAATAGTAAAGTTTTATTGTAAAGAAAGGAATGTATAGGCAGGAGGAAATACTGCAAGAGAGAGCAATGGGCTCTGGCCAGATGGCAAAGAAGTCCGGATCTTTGTTCAAAGGATTGTATGTTATAAGGGCAAATGGTTTTTGCAGGAGGGGCTGTAGTGATTGACAGGTTTGATTGATAAGGTCTTGTTACATAACATGGGGCATTCTGCACGTGGTCTTTTGCTGATTCTCAGGTTTTTAATTGTATCTGTGCCTGTTTTTAATTCACTTATTCTTGACATCTTCATCTTCAAAAAACATGTTTTGATTGTAAAAATAAAGTGACATTTTTTTTCCTTCCTCTTTCTCCCTTTATTGCATCAATGAGCCACTATTATAAAAGTATTGAATGGATCTCCTGAGTGCTGGGATAGGGAAGAGAAAAAGATTAACAAAACATTCTTCAAGTTGGAAAGATTAGTGTGGAGTGTCAAGGATTTGATGGAAGCTACATTTCATGTAGTTCAATTAATTGGTAATGAGTGTGAATTGAGTCTTGAACCAGGAGATAAACATTAAATGCTCATCTCATAGGTTACTTTGAATGTTTCTTCTGATCCTTCTGCCATTTTAACCAAGCAACTGCTTCTGCCATGCAAATACCTTTTAGCAACTAATGTGAATATAAACTGAATTAGAATAAATAGAGAACTACTAATAAAGCAGCAGTTTTTGGCAGTTTTACCTTAGTTTCACTGAGTAGTCTTCTTGACTGTAAATAGTTTTTTTTAAACAATAACCAGAAGCCATTTTCATGTTTGTTCAAAAAGAATTTTTTCACAAATGAAATGATAATCAGGTGATCTTTAGCCAGGGCCCTTCATTTAGTGTTTTGAAATGAATTTTGAGTATGGGTTGCTAATGAAGGTTATGTATTTTATAGTCAAGTATAAACAATATGACTAGATATCTCAGGATTACTTATACACAGTTAAGATTTCTTAGCTTCTCTTCAACAGGTGTAAGAGAAAACATTTAAGTTTTGCTTTATCTTGAAGAAGTCAAAATCTTTAAAACAAAACAAAGCAAACCCTCAATATTTCCCTTTTATTCTTAATGCTTTTTAATGTCTCAATTTTTGTTGTTGTTGTTCTTCCAGGGCGATGTACCTTCTGTGGAATACCTTTTGCAAAATGGAAGTGACCCGAATGTTAAAGACTATGCTGGATGGACACCACTGGTATATTTCTGTTTGCTTGTTTATTTCTGTAGTGCTGGGGATGTATTTGTTTTTTATTCTTACTGTGTTTATGGCTCTTATAGTTACATGTCTGTCTGCCCATAATTATCCTCTGCCATTTATATCATCTCTTTAGTCTGCAGAATTGATGTTTTCACTAAGTATGAGAAAAAGTTATTTTTCATCTGGCTTTTCAGTTGTGACAGGAAAGAAATTGGCTACCTTTTGACTAGTTTTAGATTTAGGATCTCAGTTACATTACACTGCTGAATTTAGCTTATGTGTGTGTTGGTAACTATTATAATTAACATCAGGCTCCATTCTGTGGCATTTCATGCCACTGTAACCTGATTTTTTTTTTTTTCTTGGCATTACTGGAGTTTGAACTCATGGTCTCAAACTTACTAGACAGATGCTCTACCACTTGAGCCATGTCCCCAGCCTTTTTTTTTTTTTTTTTGCTTTAATTATTTTTAGGTAGTCTTGCATTTTGCCCAGGGCCAGCCTCAGACTGAGAACCTCCAAACCCAACTTATTGTTTGTGATGGGGTCTTGCTAACTTTTTGCCTAGGCTGGCCTGGAACTGCTGTCCTCCCAGGTGATCTCCCCTTCTGCAGTAGCTGATTATAGGGGTGAGCCTCTGTGTCAGCCTGATTTCTTTTTTGTAAACAAAGAGAAATCAGAAGGACTGAGTATGGAATGTGATTACAAGTGAGTACTTCTTACTGAGCATCTGTCTTAGTTTCACTTAGAGCCTATCCAGTCACAAATAGGGGCAGTCATGTAATATTTGATTACATTAAACATTTTTAAGTCTTTGCTTAATATTATTATTAATGCAATGTGAAGAATTCTCTGGAAAAAGAATGGCAAAAATATTTGGAAACAATTTCTACATGGGCTAATTATATGAAGGCAATAAGCATGAGGTTTGAATGTAGTCATACACAGAATGTCAACAAAGGAGGAGAATGCCATTATCCTGTAAAGTAGAAGTTCAGCACAGAAATTAGGAGACTCATTAGGCCAGGTACAAAAAAAGGTTTAAAGATATAATAAATGATTTTTCTGCCAAGTTCTGAAGTTGGAAGAGTTTAGTCTGGATCACAGGAACATTGTTTTTTTGGACTCCACTAGTTGGCTAGCCTTTACAGAGAAAGGTTAATTTCTTTCTTTCCTTTTTTTGTTTTTTAAAGCCACTAAGGCAAATTGTAGTAACAGTTGGTGGGTGATTTAGAAGATCTGATTATCTGATTGATGTCTAGGCGATGGGCAAGGTGGTGCATGTATGTAATCCTTGCTATTCAGGAGGAAGAGGCAGGAGGCTGCCTCCTCACCACTCCCCAGTCCCTCACTCATCCACAAAAACACCAGACCCTATCAAAAACAAATGAAAGCAGAGGGCTGAGGTATGCCTCAAGTAGTAGAGCACTTACCTAGCAAACAGGAGGCCCTGAGTTCTAACCTTAGTACTACCAAGAAAAAAAAACGATTAATAAATTTGAATTCCTTCCTGCACCAAATAGACCTAGGGATGTTGGATGTGGTACTGCCTATTATGAATTAAGATAGATACACTAAGAAAACACAGTATACAGAGATTTATGAGAATATAACTTAGTGACGGTGTTGGCAGTTTATTAGACATAAGAAAAGATTTGCATGTAAGGCATCTTTGGACATTCCATTGTTACCAGTTGTGTCAGTCATTTAGTCAGCTCCTTAGAATACCTACTCCATGTTACTACTTCTGTTATCACTGACACCAGCAGTCTAGTAGTCTCTAGCTTTTGTCTTATAATTACTCCTGGCATTTTTATTTTGCTGGGTGAGTTTAGTGTATATGCTTGTGCACTATTTAGTGTAGGACCTAATACAGTGAGTTCTTTTTCTCTTTCTTTCTCTATCTAGTTTTTTGTTTTTGTTTTCTTGTGTTGCTGGGGATTGAACCTAGGGCTTTATGCATGCCAGGCTTGTGTTCTACCGGTGGGTTATATCCCCAGTTTGTGAGATCTCTTTAGTCTGGAGAACTTCAGGTTTTATGTGTGATTTGGTTGTTAAATATTAAGTCTCTTTTTCTTAATGTTTTAAAATTATAGTAGAACAATTTAGTTGTTTTAAAGCTACATTTTCTTTTACTTTTTTTTTTTTGTTAAAGAACTTGATCCAAGGTCCTAATTTTCCTAGCCTTAATAGATGCTGATCACCACCTCTTACCACTGAAATGGTTATTATTGGCTTTTACTCTGTTAACCTAAAGTCTGTATGAATATTTAGTTTAGAATAAGTTTACTGATTGAGGTTACCATTTATTTCTCTAAACTGTAATGTTAATATAATATCATTTGTTCTTCTTACCACTCTCCTCTCCCTTTTAAAAAAATTTTTGTAAAAAAATAATTAATTAGCATGAAGCCTGCAATCATGGACACCTGAAGGTAGTGGAGTTGCTGCTCCAGCATAAGGCATTGGTGAACACCACTGGCTACCAGAATGACTCCCCACTTCATGACGCAGCCAGGAATGGGCACGTAGATATCATCAAGCTGTTACTGTCCTATGGAGCCTCCAGAAACGCTGTGTAAGTAGTCATCCAAAAATTCGGTTTTAAATTGTTCCTAAATTAAGGTGTGTGCTGAAACAAAGAAGTTCACTACCCAAGTTGGTGTTTTTCCTTCTTTTACACAGCTGAAATTAGATGTGGCCGTAGGTTCCATGCTTAAAATCAGCATGTGTGCTTTTTCCTAATGAGACTCACATATTTACAGGAGATTCTCTGTGCTCAGAAACAATTTTCAAATTCATTTGAGAAGCTTTCATTTTGTGGACAAATTCATTTAGTGTTTCTCTTCTATGGATTAATATTTATTAATAAAAAAACATAGATTTAATTTTTATGCTACCTTGCATTTTAGAATTATTTTAGAAATTTAAACATGAGTTAAAGTATTTGGATATTGGGCAAGTGCAGTTGAGTTATTTCCCAGATTTTTCACATTATTCAAATGAGGCTCTGAGTAAATTGTTTTGCAATGTCAGGGCACATGGCCCATTAGCGAATGCTGGCGGCTGCATTTTAAAATGGCTATTGTCAAGAGTATCACAAGCAAATGCCGTATGTACATTTTATATCTTTAATCTGTAACTTGGCTCATGTCTCCCTATATGTTATTTTACTCTCTTCAGTTAATTAGGTAGTTGAAATGAAAATACAGGAATTGCCCCTCTGTGCCCCCATAGCTTCTATAGGTTTCAAAAGAGCACACACAAAAATCAGGCTTACCATAGCTACAAAGGCATATAAGAATTTAAAAACACAGAGCTTCTAGGTTGTAATTTTTTTACAGACAATCATTTAACATAGTTGAAAAACTAATAATGCAAGAATATAACATAACTTGATGCTGTTAGTTTCAGTAAGATGTGTCTAATTTATATTTCCCATCTCAAGTCAAAGTTAGGGGATATATACTCTATATGCTTTCTTTTTTTTTTTTTTTTAAACTTTTTCTGTGTGCTTGTGTGTGTGTAATTAATTATAGATAGATATGGACCTAACACATATTTATATCTATATAAGGACTTAATAGATATGACCCTCCTTTGGGTTTAGCAAGCCATTTGATAAAGAAAATGGCTGCTTGGGTCAGGTGAAACTGAATAGTTTTCACCCTAGGGTTCTTAAATCAACCATGACTACTTTAATGAATGGAGCACTGGTCAGGGTGTTAGGGAATCCAGCTTTTATTTGTGACTCCATTATTGACTTTATAGCCTCAGGCAGGTTAATTTCTGTGCCTTGGTGTCCTCACCTATAAAACATGGGTGCTGCCTGCTGCTTTTCTATTTCTTCAGAACATAGTGAGGATTAATGAGCCAAAACAGAGAGCCTATCTTATGGTTTGTACACCATGATTCTTCACTGCACAGTGAGAACTTAACTAATATACAAGAAGTGGGCATGAGACCAAGAGTCTGCCTTCACAGGTGCCTTTTCAGAGAGATCAGGCACCTGATTTAAATAGGCTAACCTGGCAAAATTACACCCTTATGTATAGGCCAGCACCGTCCAAATAGTTCTTTTCTACAGGATGGAAATATTTATGTCAGTGCTGGGCATTCAATAGCCTGGCCACCTGTAGCTATTGAACACTTGAAAATCAGCTGTCACTACGGAGAAACTAAATTCTCAAATGTATTTGATTTTAATTAATTTAAATAGCCACATGTGTCAAGCGACTCCTGTGCTGGACAGGTGGTTGATTCAGATAGGACAGTTGGGGAGGAGGGTTTATTTGACAAGAGAGGTTGGGATTGATGTTGGATAAAAAGTAGTAGGCAGATGAAAGTGTAACTTTAATCTTTAGGTATAATAGTATGATTTCTATTCCTAAATATGGTTATTCTTTCTTTTGTAGATTGTTGGTTATCATTCTGAAGTAATTTCCTGTACTTTTTGTTTTATTTTATAATGACTGTTCATCTGATTGACCAGATACTGGTGTCCTCCTTTCCAGTTTCTTTTAAACAAATATTTTATGTCAGCTTGCTAGTACTTTATTTAGGATTTTTGCATAATTAGAAGTTAGAATGATTTGTGATTTTACCTTTAATCTTTTGCCCTGAGATTTTGATATCAAAATTATACTGATAACTTTTTGAAAGTAATAAAAATCCTTTAAATCTTTTTTGTTTTCGGGGACATGAATAGTGTGTCTTACAGAAATAAGTCCCTCCCCCCACAAAATACAACATTATTTTGGTAATTTACATATTACATAATTTTTAGAGATCTCTCCAATTTTGTTATTGGTAGCTATCACTCTGAAACACTAATGTATTAATAGTAGAATAAGAGCAGATGGATCTTCTTATGCCATTAAATTTATCCCTCCCATGTCTCTGTGGACTATAAAAACAAACTGCCTATGTTGTAGGTTTATCTGAAAATCAAGGCCCGTGAAGAGCCTTGTACTGATGCTTAGCATTTTGCACACCAGGAAGGTGAAATGTGTGAGGAAATGCTGACCCAACTAGGTTTCCTGTGTATATATTGGGATATTGCAGACCCATAAAAATTGGAAGTCTTCCTTTATGTATGTTTTAGTCAGATGCTATGGTTGTCTTTTTGTATATTAAATGTTAAAAAATACTGTTGTTTTCACATATTTCAGGGCCCTCTAAGCTGAAGCAGGCCTGTAGTCCAGCACTGTACTCATTGATTTCATTGTATTGTAGACATAAGAAAATGATAAGCATTTTTGAATATTTTTCAATAGAATTTGATAAATGATCTATATCCTTACACTACCAAATGTACATTCTTCTTACGTACCTTTGCTGCATAGTCTTCCTTCACCTACCAATGGAGATACACTCTGAGAAATGCCTTGCTAGGCAATTATGATGCAGGGTATACTACATAAACTAAGATGACCAGGCTGTCTTGAGGTGATTGATCCAGTATTATGTATATGGTCTGTTATTGACCGAAATGGCTACTGTATATTGCATAACTATATTTTTTTTTTCATTTTTCTTTTATTATTCATATGTGCATACAAGGCTTGGTTCATTTCTCCCCCCTGCCCCCACCCCCTCCCTTACCACCCACTCCACCCCCTCCCGCTCCCCCGCCTCAATACCCAGCAGAAACTATATTTTGACTGACTTTATAGCTTTTCAGCTACTGGAAGAATTTTAATTTGAGCTATTTAATTAAGTGTAATGCAAATTGTAAAGAGATTTTTCTAATATAGCCTGGGGGAGAAAGGAAAAACTGAAACAAAGCAAATCTAGTTTTACAGTTAGGGATGTGTTTAGGAGAGAGTAATATAAGAGCGGTAAGGGATCCAGACTACAAAGTTCTGATATTCCTGGTATGAAGTTGTCATTAATAATTCTAAGACTTCATGGCCTTAAATATTAGAGACCGTGCAGAAGAACTGTCTTATAGTACTGTTTTATAAACTGTGAAGATAACCTAGAGCCTTTTTGTAGCACAGAAAGTGGAGAAAGTCAACAACTCAGCCACATAATTAAGTATTGAATATTTATGGAAGACCAGATACAGGACAAGAAAGAATGGAGTATTATCCACTGCAAAGCCAATTTAAATCATCTTACTGAGTATGGATGAAGGGAATCTTGAAACCTTATAAGGAAAGGCATGATAGCTAGGAATTAATCATATGCAGTACAAATTCAAAATATTATTGATATTTTTTATTTGTCATCTTTATTATTTAATTTATAGGTTCATTAGTGAAGTCTTCTCAACCCAGTTTTTTCATAGAGGCTCTGGTCTTTGACTATGAATTTTCCTGTTGCAAGGTTATTGGGCTCTAAATCAATGATTATGGAGGGAATGAGTATACATTAGAGAGTCATATATCCTTCTACTTCAGATTTTTAAAATATCTTTCTACTTTTTGTTCTGAATTAATTTTAATATTCTCATACCCTACCGTTAAGTCACATTTTACTAGGTACTCTATAGTGCGTGTTGAGTTTACTGTGTAAACTTTGGCATTTAAAAATTTGTTTAACATTTAAATACAGTGTTAATTCATTTAACTCTGAATTCCCTTGCTTTTTGCATAAGTAATTTACCTCTTGTGAGCTGAGAATCCATTGCTCAAGAGGAAAAAGTTTTGTTTCAATATTGGATAATGAGAAAGAAATTTAAGTCTATTACGATATTTGTTGTCTGAGACTTTCTATATTGATAATTCTTTAGAATCTGATTGTCCATCTTACCCACTTCCCTCTGTACATTCCAATGCAAACCTGGGACTAAATTGTTTGCTGTTACCTCAGAACCATTTGAAGTATGTGGAGAATACCAGATGCTTTTTTTCTTTTCCTTCCCTCCCTTAGTTTCTCCCTCCTTTCCTTCTTTCCTTTCTTTTTTCCTGGCAAATATGTAGGATTTAGGATTTTGTACTTGGTCTGCTATTAACACGCTTTTTCTTGGGAAGGACATTGAATTCTTAAGTAGAATAATATTATGTGGACCATTGGACCTATTAATTGTTTTCTTGCCCTATTTAATTTTTTCTTTTTAAAATAAATCACCTACAACAAGGATCATTTATATTTTGTAGCTTAAAAAAACACATTGCTATTTTGAGTGATTGTACTTTTTCCTGTTTGAAGCAAGCAAAGTGATGTAAAAAATTAAGTCTTTGTGTTTGCAATTTTGTAGCTGTTCATAAAGGATTTTGTTCATACACTGTCTTGGCATCCTGTCACGCACGATAGGTTTGGATTAATAAAAATACCTTGTGTATATTTTTGTATGCTGGATGATCTGTGTGTTCAAGTACAAATTTAAATTTGCCCTTCTCTCCTCCTCACCTTTTAGTGCTACAGCTCATTCAGGGCAAAGTAGTAGGCAGTTGTCTACCTTTGTCATTCCTGTAGGGAAAAGGGTGTTAAAGGATTTTTACTGTATTCTGAACTCTTTCTTTCCTGTGGAGACTAAAACATTAAACACTTAAGTTTAACCTTTTGGTAAGTGTCTTTTTTCCATCAATTTTGGTAATCAGAAAGAATTCTGGTTATGGAGAGGATTTATAT